TTTCTACACACCCAAGAATCTCAACAATCAGATTCTGGACTCTGGGAGTCTGAGGGACTGGGTTGGGGTCTCTGAGTGTCGGGAGGTCTTGGACTCCTGGAGGTGGTGGGTTTCTGAAAGCTGCCAACTTCTAGTCCCTGGGGAGATGGGACATTCTGGAAACCGAAAGCTGGAGGGGTGCTGAACTCCAGGAGTGAGGGGTCCTGGCCATTGGGGGTGGGGTGGGGGGACTTCCTGTCTGGGGGAAGGGGCACACCTTTTCTGTTGCTCCATCTCCTCTGGGGAGGGGCCATTCTGGACCCCCCAGGCAGGGGGTGCTGGGGCTGGAGGCGGCCCACCTCCTGCAGGTGAGAGTAGAAAGGTATGAGTCAGCTGAGCCCCCCTACCCCTGGGCACTTCCCCTCAGCTGCCCAAGCCTCCCAGGAACCCTGCCCAGAGGCGCCCACTTCCTCCTCCCCTGCAGCTCCAGAGGAAGGGGGCAAGCACCCTCTGTTGGAGCTGCTGTGAGCCAGGTACCGGTACCGTCAACACACCTGGTACTGGGCAGGTGCTAAGGCCCGGGTCACTTGCCCCAGATCCGCTGCAGGTTGGAATTTGCAGGAAAAAGGCTTAAAGCCTAGGGGCCTCTTCCTCACCTGCCCCAGGCCTCTGGCCCCTCCTACCGGAACCACCTCCGCTCTATACTCCCATGAGCCTCCAGCCAAGCAAGCCCTGGAAGTTGCCCCAGGAAGCAAACTCCCTGCCATTTGGGGATTTTCAGTTCTAGACTCCAGCCTGGGCTACATGGCACCCCTTACAGCCTCATCCCTCAAAGAACAGTGTGAGGACCTCGGGATCTCCATACGCAGCCTTCCCAGGGCTGGTTCAAATCCCTGCCTGGTCGCTTAAAAAAAAAAAAAAAAAAAAAAAAGGCCAGATCTCATATGGCTAACTGCGGTTTGAGGTTTGAGTCCTGACAGCTCTCAAAACATATGGCACAGGGGCCGGCAGATGGTGTGGCGGTTACGTCGCTGGGCTCCCATGTGGTTGATCGTGGTTGGATTCCCGGACTCGGTGGCTTGGAAATTTGTAGGGCACATGTGCACGTGTGCCCAAAAGCCCGAGAGAAGAATGGAGAAGCTATTTCACAGTGGTCATCCCTTCTGGGGTGCTTTCTCACTTTCACCCCTCTCTCTGTCTCTCTTCAGCAAGTGCATGTACCCTTTGGCAAAAATCCTAAAAAAGAAAAAGAAAAGAAATGCAATCTTGGGCCCCAGGTCAGCCCACCTGCACCCATCTGCACTTTAACTGGACCCCCAGGTGTCAGGTGTGCATGTTAAGAAATATCAGCATTTAAAAAGTGAAAACTGGGGGAAAAAAAAAACAAAAACAAAAAAAACTCATGCTGGGGCCAGTAGATGGTGTGGTGGTTAAGGCACTGGACTCCCACATAGCCGACCACGGTTTGAGTCTTCAAACTCAAGCAAGCAGTTTGCTTGCTTTCCCTGTCTTTCTCTGTGTTTCTCTCTGGTCAGATTTAAAATAATAATAGTAATGAATGGAATTAAATCAATTTTTAAAAAAATGCTAGTGGGGGCCAGCAGGTGGCATGGTGGTTAAGGGCACTGGACTCCCACATGTCCGACCATGGTTCGAGTCCTGGACCTGGTGGTTTGCTTTCTCACTTCTTTCACGGTCTCTCTCTGGTCAAATTAAAATAAAGTTAAAATACTAAAAATGATTCTTTAAGAAAAGCCCTCACACTGGGCACATGTGCGTGCATGCTCAAAATCCCAAGAGTAGAATGCAGTAGAAGGGAGTGCGGCACGGCCATCGCCCCTCGTGGGTGAGCTCATTTCCCCTGCCTCTCTCTGCCACTCTCCAGCGAGTGCACGCAGCCTGGGGCAAAACCTAAACTAAGACTTGGAAGTTCTGATGCTTGAAAACTATCTGCTGATATAGGACTGTCCGAGGCTTCTGGGGACAGGGCATGAGGAGCCTCCTGGGGGCTCTGTCCTGAACTGGGAGGTGGTCACGGGAGCGTGCTGCGTCCTTATGAAGCAGGGGCTTGTTATGCAGGTGCCCACGGGAGCTCACAGTTCCTCAGAACCGTCCAAGATAGCAGAGAATGAGCCCCGTCTCACAGATGAGCACACCAAGGCTCAGAGCAGTAGGGCAGCAGCTTCGGGCTCCACAACGGGGTGAGGCAGCCCTGCTGCCTGCCCAATGTCTGCTGTGAATTCTTTTTTTTTTTTTAAATTTTGTTTATTATTATTATTTAATTTGGTATGGGCACATGTGCTCACCAGAAAGAAAGAGAGAGAGAAAGTAAGCCTCCAGGTCCAGGTCTCGAACCGCAGTCCGCCATGTGGGAGTCCAGCACCCCACCCACCACATCACCTGCCGGCCCCCCTGCCGTGATCTCTAACCTTCCAGCGCCTCTAGGGCACTGGCCATTCCGGCTGCAAACTGGGCGGCGTCCTCTTTGCTGCCAAAGTTGAGGCCCCAGACCTGGCGGGCGTCACGCCACTGATGGAAGTTGGGGGTGGCCTGGTTGTACTTGACACCCCGGACGATGGCACAGTTGATGACCACCTGGCAGGAGGGGGAAGGCACGTAAGGGGAGGGGGACGCAGGGGCGGGGGGCTCAGCGCCCGCACAGGGAGGGCTGGAGGCTCACCTGCTGGTCAGGCTGCATCTTCCAACCGACAACCCGGAAGGAGTTGGCCGTGGGGTTGTGGTAGATCTGGACGCGGCTGAAGGCCTGGGGACCCGTGCCAGCCGGGAGCCATCGCTTGTTGCCGTCATCGTAGAGCATCACAGTGGCCCGGCTGGAGCACACGACCGTCTCGCTGCAGGGCAGGGAGGAAGGGAGGGAGGCGTCACGTTTCCCCACCTGGTCACCCATGGAGATCCAAAGGGACAGAATGTGGGAGCGAGAGGGAGAGAGGGTGGGAGACGGACCCCCAGGAGGCCTAGACAGGGACTAGGAGAGAAAGTGGACTGACAGAGATGGACAGGAGGTGAGACTCAGAGGTGAGACAGGGAGTCTGACCGAGAAAGGGGAGACAGACAGACAGAGATGGGGGAGGGATGGAGGAAGAGACAGACGCTGAGATAAAGACAGAGACAGCTAGAGAGATGAAGAGACGGAGACGGCAGACACAGAGGTGGCGGGGAGGGCATGGAGGCGCTGGGAGAAGGGGCAGGAGCCCTGAGCTGCACTCAGGACCAGTCTTGGCCTGGCCTGTTTCAAGCTGACCCCGGCTCCCCTCACCCCACCAGGTTCCCGGGGCACTGCCGGCCACTCAGCAGGCACTCTCTGCTCTGTGGCAGGACCTTGCTGAGCGAGGCTGAAACCTGTAGTGACATGTACGGCCCTGGCACCACGCTCCCAGGGCTCACAGTGTGGGAGGCAGTCCCCTCCCCAAACAATGAAGACCTAGCACTAATCTAAGGAGTCTGCCTCCACCTGGGAGTCAAGGAGGACTTCCTGGAAGAGGCACCCTTAGACTCAGCCTTGAAGGGAGATCCCGGCTGAGCCACCTACTCCTTGTGCCTCAGGCAAGTGACGTTCCCACCCGAGAACTCATCTTCCTCGTCTGCAAACTGGGAAAACAGCAGTCCTCCTCCCTCAGGTCTCCAAGTGGTGCCTGGCATGTTCTAACAGTCAGTCGGCACCGACGCTGCCACTGTCGGCACCCTGAACAGGCCCCACTGGGGCCACAGATCTGGGAAGTCCCATACTTCCTCCCCGCGCGTGAGGAAACGCAGGCACCCAGACGGGAAGTAACTTGCCCAAGGTCACAGAGGGGGAAGCACTGGTGTCCTCCCACCCCACCCCCACTGTGCTTTTTCCTGAAAAGAGGAAGTTGGTGGTCAGAGGTTTCCGGGGAGAAAAATTAGAGCCCGAAATGGCTCTACCTCCCCCAGGGCTGAGGACTGGGGCGTGACGCTGACACTGAAGAACCCTGGCAGGGAAAGCCCCTCCACGGATGGGCTCCGGGAACCCAGGCGCAGGACCGAACCGGGGACCCCACGTTCATGCAACTCCCATTTTACTCCTCGAGGTGCTGTGGCTGGGTCGGACCCCAAAGCCTTTCCTCCGGACTCGCTCACTTCGCCCCCCCACCCCCGCAGCTCTTCCAGAGGGGTAAGGGCTGCAAACAGAGGCCCAGAGGAGCTCGGGGTTCAGTGACGCCTACCGTCACCCAGCGAGCTCAGGGCAGTGAAGACATGAAGCCAACAGGCTCACACACA